AAATATATAATATATTTTATAGAAATTATGATAAAAAATTAATATTTTTTAGTAATAATAAAAATTTTACAAGGTAATAAATAATATTTATAATAATAATATATATATTTATATTTAAATAAACTAAATAAAATGAAATTAATATAAAAAGAAAAGAGAAGACAAGAAAAGGACAAAAACACAAAAAAGAAACACAAAAAAATGATTACATAGGGGATTAGGGGTGGCATTAGCAAAGAATAGGGGTGCCATTAGCCACCCCTAAACCTTTCCACTTGGTTGGGGTATTATCAATCATCAAATCTACCTTTTACTATTCATATGGCTCAGACATAATTATCATCTCCCATTTGTGGTATTCCATTAGTTTCTACACAAGTCGAGTTTACTGTGTATGAAAACAGTCATTCTATCCTACCCTGCAGAATAGATGATGGGTCTGTAATCTGTATACATCCCACCCACCTTTTAGACCTTGTTTTTAAGTAGCATAACTAGATTAGTTTGGTCTGAGGTTTTTATACCAAAAATGAATCCCGAATACAAGTAGAAAATCGGAACCAACCTATGCTGGAAACCAGAATCTCACTTAGGACGCAGCGCTAACCATCGGATAATCATTTAAAGAGTAATTTCTTCTAAGATAGTGTACCCATAAAGCCGGGCTGAACAACAAAGCTTATACATAATTTCTTCTACAGTTTCATCTTTGAAATGCTAAGGGAGACAATGGATTGGCTTTTCAATTCCTATGATTCATTTCTTTAAGTCCTTAATGAATTCCTAGCTCCATAATTTACCATTAATTGTCTATAGAGGAGTTCAAAGTCAAGACATTATGAGGTTCAATAGAGCAATCAGTAACAAGAACATCACAGGGCTATAAATAATCCTACTGCAAGCAGAAGTTATAGAATGAGCACCAACCAAATGTACCGATCCGGTGGCTTCATCCCTCAGCATGATGCTTGAAGAGCCTGAAAATGGTAAAGGAAAATGATGAATCTAATTAAATCAAGATAGATTTCGGTAGGAGTGGCATATTGAAAACACGAGACTCACAATTATACTCGGTCCATCCAATTGTCTGGTTTTCAAGATCATACAAGACTAGCTTATTCGAGAGTACCAGATCTGCAAAAGAAAAAGGAATGAACTAGCTATTCGATTGTGCAAGGGATGCAGATACCACATTTTACATCCAGATTCACTACAAGAGTACAAGAGTACAGGTGTTTGGTAAGTTGAACATGACATAAAAAAAATGTTAAAAATGACGAGATTGCCCCTAAAAAACGTTTTTATATTATATAATAGTTACGAATAACACAAATTAACTAAATATTTATATAATTTATACATAACGGGCCGGTTTACATAGGAAAGCTAAATATAGTGAGAAGGTAAGGTTAATGGAAGACAATGATGGATCCAGAAACTTAGGTGACTGAGGTCAGACTTAATAGTGTTTTTTTCAAAACCGAATAACCCACCTGAACCAAAATAGTTTGGGGTTATTAGGTTTTCGAGTTAAACGGTTCAATTTCAGTTAAACCAAATAGCAACTATACCAAAATTTTATATCTAGATAATTGGTTTGAGGCTTTAAGCATATAAAACAATTAACATACGATAAACCATTTTATATTAAAGCTAAAATAACAAGATATTGAGATGTAATTAATAAAAAAATACAGAAGAACTAGATATTGAGATGCCTAATCTTGAAATGCATTTAACAAAACGATACACAAGATATTGAGATGAATTTATTTCTTTTCGTTTTGGTAGAAAAAAATCAATGTGTGGGGTCTTGTAAAAATTGAAATGGGTGCTTTAAGCATAAAAATAAGTTATTTGTTAAAGGGTAAAAAAGTTCTAAGTCAAATCTAGTTTTTCTTATTCTTTGACTGGGGTCAAGAGACCCCATTGATTTGTATATGGCTCCGCCACTGACGGAAGGATTATAAATCTATTAAAATATGCATATGCGAACCAACGTTATAGATTATTGATATAGGTTCACATATGGATCTTCAAATGAAATTTTTCAATGATTCACATATGAAACTTCTCTTAACCTTCCTGTCTTACCTTCTCACAATATTTAGCCTTTCTTTATTTGAACCTCTCACTTGTAAATAAATATGGAAGGGCTGCAAATACCACTTCTTACATCCACGTTTAGTAGAAGGTAAATCAGATTTGGTCAAATGTTGGCAAAAGGAAATTTGGTTTCTTGTAGCCTCGGGTTCTGTAGCAGCTTGAGATCTCATACATAATGAGATCTCGATATGTAAGTTTCATGTCGGTGAAACCTTTACCTGAATAATCAAAGTTGGCTGCTTCAAAAGCGACTCTAGTTGGCTAGGCTGGACACAAATTAGGGCTACTAACTGCAAATGTGCATTTTATGACTGTTGATCTAGATTGACTGTTGCAACTTTAAAGAACTTAAAATGGGGCATTATGTTTGCTCCTATAGAAGATTAGTGGATGGTTAGCATAGCTGCATAGCTTAAAACCGTTCATAAATTTGACCCATTTAAAATCCACACCACTGTTTGTTTGTCCCAATGGTACAGGTGGTGCAACCGAATTCACTTATAATCATAAATATAGCCTTACTAATGCAATAATGAAGTGGTTACCTCCCAATACAATCGTGTCACTTGAACTTACGGGATCGATGTCATTATTTTGCCATCCAAAACATAAGAAATCTTCCTGCAAGATTTTGATGAAGTACTTATTGGAATACAAACAGAATAAGAAACCATATATATATATTACTTATTATTTCATTTTTATAAGATGTAGTGTGTATTATCTGTTAGTATCAGAACTCGGGGCTTATGCAAGATTGACACAATCCCTATGATCATGGTTGCTAAGAAAGTGATTACAGAAGATGGTGCAAGTGATAACTTATCTGAAAATTATGATTAAACAATAGAAAGGTCTATAAACTGTTGTCCAACATATTCTCAAGATTTCATGAGTGGCTAAGGATTAGGACTAACCAACTACTTTCTGACATCTCTTCTCAACTAATCAATGTAAATGAGTTTTACTTGTCAGTTATTTCTTCAACCATTGGCCAATTTCCATTCCATTGGCTGCTTTTGCCACCTTTAGTTAAACCTACACTTTTAGCTTTGACTTACTTAAACCATGCTATAATCAAATTTAGGATCTAAATAACCCAAGGATGATCCAATGCATGCCATAACAGCCAGAAACATGAAATAGAATGGTGAAGCAGCAAATACAGCATTAACGCGGTGTTTGGTTCAGGTTGGGGAGTGAAAATGGGAAATGACTTTTCATTCCCCCAGTTTCACCTGGAATGAAAATTTGGGTTTATGGAGGAATGAACCCATTATGTTATATAAAACCAAACAGGAATGAAAATTTGGGTTTATGGGGGAATGAACCCATTATGTTATATAAAACCAAACAGGTTCTTTTATTATCATTCTCATTTATTACTACTTAATACCTCTAACCAAACACCCCCTAAATCAGTTAAAGTTCTAGGTATAAATAAATGATCAAACTTTACTGAAGTTGCAAGACGGAAGATACTTACCAACACAAATAAATAATCATGAGGATAAACTTTCAAGGAAAGTGAATTTTCAAAATGGAATGTCACTGCAGGAAATTTATAATCAACACTGCAAAACATAGCATCAAATTTTAGTAAGCCATCTGCTTGAAATTTTTGGAAAGATAAAAAGCTATATATACCCAAGGGCTAACAATAGGATATAAATCAACACAAAGCACAAGGATAATACTCAAAAGATCATCCTTGCTTATTATTTATGAACAAGAGAAACAAGATTATTATTGCATTAACATAAGAAACGAAGGTCATTGAAAGCTTCAGAATTTACAAAACCCCCTTAACTTGTTAGAGAAATGAACTGTTCCCCTAAACTGCAGTTCATGTAAACAAAAAGTTCAATAAATACAGTGTACCTTCCACAGAATTTAAATCATATATACTGGTTGTGAAAAATATGTAATCTCATATCCAACTGTCCAAAACTATTTAAAGAAAAAGAACAAAAAATAACAAGCATGCATGCATGCAAACAAAAAGTTCCATAAAAGACAGCATACCTTCCAGAGAATTTAAAGCATGTATACTGGTCTTGAAGAATACTTATCATATCAGACCATCCTTCAACTATCTACAGGAAAAGAATAAAAAAGATACAACTTCCAAATAAGCAAACACTATCCAGTCGAAACAACAAAAAATGAATAAGAAAGATTGAAAGTTCACCTTATCCATCAATGGTTTGTAGATCACTTTTGGAAGATATGCCAAAGTTGTACCACTATCTATTATTGCTTTTCTCTTCTCTCCTCTTCCATACGAATCTGTTGAAAGATTCAGACACTCTGTACCAACTTCAATTCCCGTGACATTGACAGCGTAATGTGGCCTATAAATTTAAAAGCAACAAACTTTTGTTGAATGTCTATAACTTTAAGGGGAGTTAAATCTGATTTGATTAATCAAGTACAGTGCCAAACAGGAAAAGTTGCATCAATAAATTCACCAGGAACACGTTCAAGTTACAAAAAATCAGTGTTTCAACTTATAACATTTGTCATCTACCATTTTCATTTCCCATGTTGTGGTGCAAAATGGTCATCAGGTCATGCATGCAAACGCTACCATTAATATGCATGTCTATGTATAGAAGTGAATCCAATGACTTCACACAGATCCATGGTACTATCCTCAGATTGGTAAGTTTGCAGTTTGAGAATAACCAACAGATTGGTAACTGACTATATCATAAAGACAGCAGTATGATGACCTGCATTCTTCATTATCATGCAATCTTTTAAAAGAACCAACAGAACCAGCTAGCTATAAGCAAAAATAACACATGCACAAATCAGAATCCAAAAACAAATAATCATCAAGTGAAACCAACTCAATGTCATTTGAAGAGATTCCATTTACAATCATTAAAACAAGCATATAGATGATACTTGGAAAAGAGAGCACTAACTCGTCTTGGATCAAATGCGTTGAATTAACTTTCGGCTGAACAACATGCCCAATTGCAAAGATGCCACCACCATTATCGCCATCTAAACAATGTGCAAACATCTTTTTCACTTTCCCATAAGAAGCCAGCTGTGAGACGACGGATGAATTTGATTTTCCAAAACCAAGAATCCCATCAAATGCCTCCTCAGAAGAAGCTAGGTTGCCAGTTTGGTTAGCACCACACCTGATTAGAAACAATAATGTTACAAAAGAATGAGATAGATAGACAAAGATAACAAACAAATACAAGCACCAGTGATTAAAATTTCAGCAACCAATTTTAATAAGAATTATCAAAAATAGTAACTGATGCAAATTGCACATAAAAGTAAGATGTACATACAGTACAAGGGAACGGAAAAGTAGCCTCATCCACTTTTAGAAATCTTGGTGCTGCAATACGTGAATAATGGACAAATGAAAGAAATATACAAGATATAATGAATTTCTAAACTAGATAATGCTAATAAGTAAAAAGACAGCAAGACATAAAAGATCAAGTACGAGTATTCACTTATGTGTTCTCATTTCAGGAGTCCAGGTGGTGGAACTTTCTGCTCGAGAGATAAAATGCAAATGCTTGTAACTAAAACCTTTTTGAAGATAAAAAAGAAAAAAGTAAGCCTTTGGTGCTAAAGAACTACCACTGTGACTTGATCCAACAAGCCTTTTGCTTTGCTACTTAAATTGGGTAAAAATATCATTTTTTTTTCTGGAAGATAATAACTGCAACTCCCATCAAATTTCTCTCCACTAGTTAGCGCAGGACAACAAAAAGACAACATATACAAACCACTCTCAAGTTAATTGTGTAATGATCTTATTTGATGCCTCTAGGCTCTAGTGGCAATTGCACACAACAGAATGAACAGCTACTCAAGTCCCTTGGTCAATGCAGATTAACAGATGAATATATGGAAGGTAGAATGCTGTGGCTTAAGAGGCAAAACTGTGTGAACAAGAAGGATAAAATTCAAAAAGATAAAACCCAAAATTCCTCTAGTGTTGAGCAATATATCAATCCACTAGACATCAAGATCTTTGTAGCAACATTAACATATTCAGATGAGCATGCATTGAAGACTTTTACTTCATATGCCCAAGGCTCTAAATGGTGTGAGGTGTGGTGTGGCCGCGAGGGTGAAGCCTCAAGCCTTGCACGCCACAGTGAGGCGCTGTGTTTTTCAAGGCGTGACATGAGACGACAAATTTGTACATCATATATAGAATTATATACACATATATTTTCTATATATTATTCAATGAGATAATAATATTAAAATATTTACATTAATCAGAGAAAAATCATATATATTAGTGTTGTATAAATAGTCATCGATTAAATATTCAAAATAGATCTTGGAATGGTAATTTTACAACTTCGTTTCAATTGTGGGTCCATGACATGTGTGAATTCATGAAATTGTGAGTGATGTGATTCGGTAAATCTATAGAAGTGTAAAACTTAAAGTTAAAAGTGTACAAACACAAAAGCTAAAAAAACTAAAAAAATCATTTTTCTTGAAAAGTCACGCATTGTAAAAATGCACGCAGCAGCAAGCCTCAAGGCACCATGGCGTAGGTCACACCTTACAGAAACGCTATAGGCCTTATTGTAATGGCGCGTCTTATGCCATATCTGACCATGGTGCGTGCCTTTTAGAACCTGCATATGCCTGTTCTTCAAAGTCACAGCATCAAGGAAAATTAAATCCCAAAGACCATGCAGAAGGCAAATATAAGTTGCATCCTCAGGCATCCATATCACAGGTGGTAGTAGAAAGGAATGAACAGAAGAGCAAACCAGCATATGTATGAAGATTGATAAATGTGAAGTTGACAAGGAACCAAATTAAGAACAGAAATCCACATGCTAAGTGAGTTGCAAGCCTTTGGCCAAGTTTAGGATGGCTAGATCAAGAACCCCTCTGAAAAACTTCAGCATGAGAAGTGTATTTTGCAAAGTGACTGTAAATTATGCTGGGACAAGAGGCTTTGGCCAGTTACATACAAGGTGGCAAGCATGTTATACCAACCAAAAGTATAGTTGTAGGGGGCATCAAATTGTTCAAAATCTAATAAAATAATTTCCTAAATTTTACAAAACCTCAAAACTACATTATTTAGAAACCTGACCAAACTATCCATGAAGCCGGCAGAGTTTTCTGTATGCATGTCTACAAGAGCCAGATCATCAGACATTAGCTTGTTCTCATAATAGTATTCCGTATTCTAAGTCGTATGGCCTTGTAGTCTACATGAATTCTTTTGCTAGTGTGCTATAATGCATCTTAGTAGTATATCGCATAGGTTTGTGCCTCTTTTTAATTGTTATGTAGTTACTTGTTCTGGCGTTTCTACCTCTGCAGCGGATAACTAGCGAGAAAGAGAGACTGATATAGGACTTCATAGACAACATTTTTTGAAGTATATAATATTTATATACGGCAAATAGAACAAATAAACTCACACACCTCCTCACCTCTGGTGAAGTTTGAACCCTTGACCTCCTAGGAGGCCAAGGACTCACATACCGAAGGCCAAAGGCTCTTCGGTGACTTCATAGACAACTTGCACACAGTATTAATGGAGATAAGACGTACCCAAAAACAACGCTTCCGGTTGCCATCTTAGTTTCAAAGTCACCGGACACACTGTCATATTGGATGGCATCCTTGACAAAGGAACCAATACTTTCACTCCCATCTCCATAAATCTCGGTATACAGACAAGGTACATTTGCCTTGCAACCATTAACTGTACCCCCATTAATCTCTCTGCAAAATTCTTCATCACACATCACCGGTTTTCCAGTGAGTGATAACTCTCGATCATATAGTGTAAGGTCCAGCTGTCAGAAATACAATAGGTTAAAAAATGTTGTGCATTTATGAGCATGGATAATGTTATTTTTTATAACTCTGTTTTCTCTTATCATACTCCAGGGGAATATGTTTTTTCCTTATAATGATTTTGAAAACTTTAGAAGTACACAAAAACCCAGAATCATATGCAACATCATCCTTAAAAAGGACCAAGTAATTATGGTGAACAGTTGCAGATAAAAAAACAAGAAATATAGAATATCAAGAAACAAATACCCCATGATAGCCTTTCTTGGGGCAATCTTGGCAATCTATGCAATTGATCCACATTATATCACATCCAGTATCTACTTGCACATAGTATTCCCTTGGTGGTGTTCCAATTCCAATCTTGGCATAGTAAAGCCTGTAACAATTAGGTTTACATTTCAGACACTTGCAAACTCAATATGCACGAACGAACACTAACACCACACCAATCCCGTTTTAAACTAGTGGATCCCCGTCCACCCAATTCCACTCCCCTAGTTTCATTTATCTACAGTTCCCTAGTTCCCATGAGACACAAACTCACATCACATCATCTGGTTCTCGTTGTACATTAAACTAAAGCAAATTAAGAAAGTGTCATGTAATTGCTAAACCAAAAGTATTCGACATATTTCATATCAACTATTCTGCCAACTATCATCGAATCAATAAGCAACTTAAATACACCTCTATACAAGCCATCGTTCTCAATAATCCTCAAAAATACGTTTTCATAAATTTAAATTTCATATCCGATCAAGGAAAACTCCATACCTATAAAGCATGACTGCAATCTTTAGATAGAAGAAACAATGAAGAAAACAGAGTTTAGGTGAGTAAATACCCGACATCATCAAGACGACCAATTCCACCTATATGAAAGTCGACGCCGGAGGCTAGAATTTTAAGGTGACTGAAACGGAGACTATCATGAGCTTTGAGAACGCCAAGTGACCGCTCATTTCCATAGAATTTGGAATTCACACTGAAAACTGCACCTCCGAAATCACGATTCTCACTTGCAACCAAATAAATAGAGATCAAGGCCACAAATAGTAACGAGACAAAGCTGGAAACAGCGACGACAGCCATGCTGATGATCGTATACGATTATATCGTTGACGCGCCACTCTATGCCTGCTAGTGAGCATATAAATGATACCACAGGCAACACTACGACGACAACGGTTGCGGCGGCACCGGCGACGACTGGAAGGAGACTTGGAAACGACGCGTGTCCCACTCTGACCCTCAAACTCTTCAACTTGCTCTGAGTCGAGTTCCGCTGCACTATTTATATATGATGGAGGAGCAACTTTTGGTTTGAAAATTAGGTCCCTAAACAATTTAAAATTTTACAATTGTGGTCCCTGTACTATTTAAAATTTTACAATTGTGGTCCCTGTACTTTAATTTTTAACTTAAACCAAACCATACCAAACATACCGGTAAATCTCACCTAGATAGGGTTTGGAGGTAAGATATATGATCGTTTGTGAAGACTTCAATTTGCAAAATACATAAAGGAAAAAAAAGCAAGCTACAAGTCAGAACATGTACAAACAAACAAACAGACAATTTCATTATGACACAAGTAAAAGAAATGGATCACACAAAGGAATACCGAGTACGATACAAATATCTACAGATATAAGAAGAAAATCTAAGATTAGATTACAACAGATGGGTAACACAGATGAAAACAATAACGTACATGTAAGATAGGAAAAAAGTAAGAGAACCCTGTATCGGTTGTTGGTAACCTAATTGTCACCATGCTACACATTTTTTTTGTCTCGCCCTCTAGCTTCTTTAAAGTCTCCTCTCTCCGTCCATGTTTCTCCCATGAAAGTGCCACCGTGATCATAAACGGGTTTGAGAATTTTAGATAATATATAATGAATGGCGTCAATATCAAGAGTGATATACCACTTAAAAATAGAGGGGGAACCGCAAAATGGTCAATCTCACGTGCAGGACATATGATAATACTTAGCGAGAAGCAATATATACGGGTTAAGGACAAGGATAAAAACCAAATCAAAAAACGTTACAGGAGTTTTCTTTATAACAAATGTATTGTAAGAACATAAACTAAAAGAACCAAAAACTGTAATTTACCAAGTTTTATCTCCCATGTATATATACACATATGTGTGTGTGTTTATTTTATTGGATTTACGTTCTAAAAACGTAAATGAAAAGCCAAAAACGGACATAATTAAGAAAAGAATCCAAACCCGAATGTGGTTAAGTGGTTGAAACAAGACCCTTTTTTTGCATCTTCACCCGTTGGACGTCACCGTCCATTTATTGTGAAATTAATTTTAGTATTATCGTGATCTTGGACTTCAATATCATTTTTTCATAAATCAGTCTCTTTTATATGTGTAATATCTGATACATATAGGGTTGGATTTACGTGAGAACGTGACAACTGGAACCTTCATCCCTTTATATATACATGTATTTCACAAGTTTTCATCTATCTTCAATTACATGTTTTTATTATCATGACTGAAACTTTAACAAATTAATGCATGTGAAATTGATATAATTATGTAAAAATTCGTAAAATTGATTAAATGTGAATATGTAGGTAGACGAATGCTCGTGCCTTTTTAGCCATTAGATCAAAAAACCAGTTCATTCAAAGACTCAAAAATTGGCTCACATTCTCACATAAAAGGATTGAACAAATTACATCTCTCTCTCTCTCTCTCTCTATATATATATATATATTATGTATAAATATTTTTAATAAATTTATTTGAATATTTATTTACTTTGTCATGTACTAAGAGCATATTCAACAGATTTTTCAATATAGAGAAGTAAAAATTTAAAATCTATAAAAAAAACTACATTTATCTTCAACAGATTATCTGTTTTGGAGAGGCTAGTTTTATTAAGCATCATAATCATTCCGAGCGTATCCTTTTAAAAGCGAGACAAAAAAATTACGTCTCAATCGATTTGAATGCCCAATTGATATGTGAAGTTGAACTCATGAACGGTTCATCGTGACAAAAGGGAAAAAAAAATACAACCATAAATTTTTCAGATTGATGTTATATTTTTCCAGATGTTGTAAAAAGTTTCATAATATCTACATGTAAAAGAACAAGTGATGATAACTTTTGTATGGTTATGAATTTTTGACAAGTGTCCATCAGAATGAAAGCACGACAATTATCATGATATGACCTAAACCTGAAACCGTTGACTTTATCTTTGAGTGTCTGCTTAGATTTGCACTAGAAACATTTGATCAGTTTTTAACCCAATATTGTAAACAACATCGAAATTGTACCGTATAAATGTCAAAAGAAAGTATTTTAGTAATTATAACCAACCCTGTAACATTTAAAACATATATGTACAGATGAAACCATCTCAATAAAATCAGTATAAAACACGCATAAAAACAAAACGAATTTCATCACAAACCCAAACCATTTTCCATCCACTACTTGTTCCTCCACATCCATTAAAATCTCAATTCTCAGTTTGTTATGTTTTTGTATCTAATTTCAGCTACGTTTAGAAGGGGAGGCAGGTTCCTCGGCCTCCACGGCCATTGCAAGCTCAAATTGTTGCAAAGAAACCGGAGGAAAAGAAAGTGTTTCAGGTAGTTGAATAGGATCCCAGTTTTTACTGGGATTTGTAGTCATAGATCCATCAGCGCCTATGTGTGTGACATGCTTCACGTCGGTTGGGAATCCTATTTCCATTTCCGTCTCAATCTTGATGTCCTCCATATCTTTGTAAGCTGAAACGAAAAAAATGCCACCAGAATAAACCAGGTTTTAAAAAGCTACTATTAAAACACTTTAAAGTCAAACGTTGACTCTTTTTCCTCGGACAAAAGGGTGTTTTGCGTCCCACTGAAACCATTTGTATGTTATGAGATAGAGTGAATATGCGGGTGTCTTGCATCCCATTGAAACCGTTTATATGTCATGAGATAGAGTGAATATACGTCACCAGTTGACCTTACCATCAACCCGTAATATATGGGAGAACGAGTATGCAAAGTAGTTTTTTTTGGAACAACCAAGAGGTTTTTGCCTTCTTTTTTTTATTATTATTGTTACGGGAAAATAAAATAAGAAACAGACAAGCCTCAAAGCCATGGTGAGGCGACGAGATTTAGAAGGCGTACTTGTGGCGGCATATCTATGTATCATCTGTACAACTATAGAGGATAATTGAAATACAAACAAATCTCAACTGCATCTAGTCTAACAAATACTTGTTTCATAAATGTATCAATTATTTTCTAACATAAAGCGTTGATCATAATTAATGAATTTCAATAATTTTCTATAAATATTCAAATTATAATAAATGAACTTTTATCATTTTCATAAATATTTTAATTGATTGGTTTATATGATTTGTAAAATTTCCATGGATGTATTTGATTTGTTTTCACCCTAAAAAATGAAAAAATGAGGAACACTCTGGTAATTATTCATCTGCAATGTATGTACATGTCCATACCGGACAAATTGCTTAGAAATTACTAGAAGTCTCAATATCATATATGATTACACTTATTTGGGTGTGTTTAAACATATATGATTAAACATCTATGTGTTGTCAATGCAACATGTGTTTTTATACTACTACCCTCTATATACACACACACATATATATATACATATATATATATATATATATGTTTTTTTTAACTATTACTCAATCAATTATTGACATTTAAACAATTTAAGTTAGATTAAATATTAAAAACTAAAAAAACAAGACACCAAAAATGTAAGAAAAACCAAATATCACGTTACGAAAACCGCACACCAGGTCATGACATGCCATAAGTTTATCGAGACACGAGACACAACAAACGAGCCCTTTAAAAACACTGATTATTATTTATTACGATACACCGGTAAAGAAAGATTATGGGAATTTTCACTTACCAAACATTTGAGTAAAGCCTTTGAATGTGATTCTTATTAGCCTATCCATGGCCTTGGAGATGTTAGATCTATTTAGAGTTGTAGGATTCCAAGATTTCTTGATTTCCACCATTGATGATGAGCTTCCTTCCTCCATGGCCATACTTGTAGCAACTCGATTCGATTCGGGTTTCGATTTCTTGACCACTCGTGTCGAATCGAATTCACCCACGGTCGATTGAGACAAACATCCAATATAAAAAGGAAGAACAAGAAATCTTGAAATCATTCCTTTCATGGGCTTCAATTCTTAGAATCTTTGGCACCAATTCAGAATCAATTGCTCTAATGGCTACAAAGAATAGATGGAAAGAGGAGGTTGTTGGTATCAGAGATAACATTACCACCTTTCCAATTGTCCCTTTGGAAGCAAGCTTCCATCATTTAACTTTTACCAGAGCAGAAATGGCTAGATCAAGAGCAAGGAAGCTATGGTGACTTGTACATCATGGGTTGAAAAGATGTAGATTGGTTTGGATTTGGGGTTTTTGGGTGTGGAAAAAGGGAATGGGTTGGCACTGGTAAGTAGGTTAAGATGTACACTTCAACCTACTGAGTAGTGATTGCTGGTCTAATTGAGGAATGAGTTATTTGAACCCACAAAATCGAACCATGGACCGGTCCTAAAAAGTCTGGTAAAAACCCGATCTGGTTTGATCCGAATTAAGTTTTTGTCCAACCAGATCCTAAAATAGATCGGTCTTTATTAGGTCTACTTCAAAGAACTTCTGACTGATAGTCTAATCTAATCTAATATATACTTAGGAAAATTGTCCAAAATAGTCATTTCAAACTCTCCAATTCATTTATAGTTGTTTTTCTACTCAATTAACCGAAATAATTAATATTTCGCAAGCAACACTTCTGCAAGTTGCTAACATGGTACTTGGGAAATGCTAACATGACAAGTAGCACTTTAACAACTTATGAAATGATGAGTATCATTTTAGCAAGTTGCATAAGTGGAACTTCCATTTCAATATTTCACAAGTAGCACTTTAACAACTTATGAAATTACTATTTATGAATATTATATTCATGAAAAGTGTTTAGATTATTTCAGTCAATTATATAGAAATTCGGGTATAAAGTGAATTGAAGGATCAAAAGTTATTGTTTTGGAGAATTTCTTGACAATGTCATAGTCTTGGTCCGAGTCCGGCTCAAACCAAAAAGACCAATTTTCACCCATCTATAACCGTTACTATTTGAACCTCTTTTGGGTTATATCCGAGCCTTGGAAATATAAAAATTTACATTTAGAGGTGGTTTGTTAAAAGTTTACCGGATCATTTACCTTACTGGATAAATATCGTAAAACTTTACCCGGTAAGAGCGATGATAAGAATAGAGAGTCTTACCCGGTAAGTAGGGGTGAACAAAAAACCGTCAACCCGCGAAACCCGCCCAACCCAACCCGTTAACAACCCAATTAAACCCAACCCGTCTACCCACCAAACCGCCCACCCGCCAAACCGCTAACCCGCTAATTAGAAGAATTGAAATTGGGTTGAGCCTAGCTCAACCCGTCAACCCGCCGCTAATATATAATTTTTATAAAATTATATATATATATATATAGAGAGAGAGGAGCGTTCAAATAACAACTTGCCCCCTTTGTGTAAACCGTGTAAACCAATCTCATCCGTCCATTTTCTTGATCAATGGCTAAGATTAGTTTACTTTATTTTTGGAAATTAAAAAATAAAAAATATTAAAAAATTATTTTATTTCAATGATAAGGGCAAATTGGTAAACAAAAGTTAACATCAATATAACATTAATTCCATAAACAAAAGTTAACATCAATATAACATTAATTCCATAAACAAAAGTTAACATTAATATAACATCAATGAACCATTTTATAATGAAATCTTTTCACATTAACATTAATTCCATAAAGAACAAAATATAATATGCACCCGTTTCATCATATATTTATTTCATAAAAGAACACAATACATTACGCACCCATTTCATTTTCATCCTACCAACTAAACAGATCAACTTCAATCACAAAGCAACATGGATCATCATGAACCTAGATGTACATTCAATCACAAAGCAACAAAGATAACCATGAAACTTCAATCACAAAGCACCTATTTCATTAACACGTATAATATGCATAGATGGAGCAAATAAACCATTTTACAATGAAACATTTTCACATTGAAACAGATTCATGACCATTGTTTTTTGAACTTTGTTTATGAAACTATTCATTACAATATTTTCATTAGGAAATAGAGAGATTATATTRTTTCGATTTTTCAACTGTTTTGAAACGTTTGATGAAACCGTTGCATCAATAGTTCATTTTCCTTATTCTACTCATATGAACATGATTCATCATTATGAACCTTTTCATTATGAAACAGTTTCATGAAACCTTTTCATTAAAGTGGATAATATGCCTAGAGTATTAATTTGGACAATATGCCTAGAGTATTAATTTGGACAATATGCCTAGAGTATTAGATTATGAACATGCTTCATCATTCATTATGAACATTTTCATTATGAAACAGTTTCATGAAATTCGCCTCATATGAAACAGTTTCATGAAATTCACCTCATATGAAACAGTTTCATGAACTTTAGGAATGAAGTTCGCCCCATATGAACGTCCCATATGAAACAGTTTCATTATGAAACATTTTCATTATGAATGCCCCATTCAAATCAAGTTTTTAATGTTATAATATATTAAAATTTTTAATATGTTACCATTCAAGAAATTTCCATTATTAAATTTCCTTATTTAATATTTATTAATAACTACCTTATTTATCATAAGAATATAGAGAATGATCAAAATACCCTTAGGGCGCGTTTGGTTTGAGGGATTTGGAGGGATTTGGATTTGAAATCCATTCCATCCCTTGTTTGGTTTGCTAAATGGGCTGGATTTGGAATCCCGTCTACTTTTTAAAATCCCGTAAACAATGGATTTTGAAATCCATAGTAAATGGGCTGGATTTTGAAATCCAATCCGGGCTCCTCTTCTCCACGCTGCTACGAACTTCTCGCCACAAACCTTCTAATCTGTCGCCCGTCTCCACCATCTCCCCAGCTCTCGTCGCTTTCCCCGCTGCTCTCGCCGGTCTCCTCCAACTCCCCACAGCTCTCGTCGCTTTCCCCGCTGCTCTCGCCGGTCTCCTCCAACTCCCCACAGCTCTCGTCGCTTTCCCCGCTGCTCTCGCCGGTCTCCTCACAGCTCTCGTCTCCCCACAGCTCTCGTCGCTTTCCCCGTTGTTCTCTCCTACTCTCTGCTCTTCAACCTGCTTGAACCGGTGCTCATCGAATCGCCTCTTCGTCTCGCTTGAGCAGGTAATAAGACTTCCCTTTCCAATCTATATTCTTGGTGGTTGTAGCTTGAATCTTTGAAGAAGAGGCTAGGAAGAAATTTTAGGATTTCGTGCAATAGCTTGAATCTTTAAACAGAGTTTGTGATTTGCAATGATACTGTTTGCACCAAGCTTGACCTAGAATTTGGTTTGTGAAATGAGATTCTTTTGGAATCAAATCCAAATCCTGCAAACCAAACACAGGAATGGATTTTAAATCCAATCCAATCCAAATCCCATGAAATCCAAATCCCTTCAGGAATCCAAATCCCTCAAAAACATTCCTGCAAACCAAACGCACCCTTATTGATTAAATTTAATTAAAAAAGAATGGAATTTTCCTATTGGTCGAATTTGGTTTACACGGTTTCTTAGAATTGCATGGTTTTCATTTGAACATGCCCTTATATATATATATGGTTATTATGTGTGTGTGTATATATATATATATATATATTAATAATGTATAAATTTTATATAATTTTTATTGATATTATATTTTGTTTCATTTTAACTAACGTATAGGTTACCAAAAGAGATTCACGATCAAAGAATGATGACAAATAATCTAATTAATAAGAAAAATTATTGCTTTTTTTGCAGCAACAACAAATTGATATGTTGGAAAATATGAATGATATTGATAGATATTTGATGGACGAATCCATCAATCTATGACGCTTTTAAAGAGTTACATTAGAAAAATGTCTTATCTAAAAGAGTTTCAATATGTTTATAGGATGGTTTTGGACGTCTTAACAAATTCTATGATGTTTTTAAAATAAAGTGTCGTATTAGTTATTTTATACAACACGACTTGAAAAAATGTCATATGAGCATATGTGTCCTATAAATAGATGAGTTTACGGGACACTTCTCAAAATGTTTTTATAAAATAACTAATACGACATTTTATTTAAAGATCATTCTAAAACACTTGTTGAAACGTCAAAAAACGTCCTATAAACCTATTGCAACATTTTTAGATAGGACGCTTTATAGTATGGTCTATAAACTTAAGATTTATAAATTATTTCATTCGTCAAATTATGTAACTACTAACTCGCCAACCCAACCCAACCCGCCTCAACCCGCAAGGGTTGGGTTGGGTTATACTTTTGAATGGGTTGGGTTGGGTTGGGTTGAGATTTTCCAAACCGCCATAATTGGGTTGGGTTGTAAAATTGTTGTAAACCGCCCAACCCAACCCGCGTTTACCCCTACCGGTAAGTGAAGATAACGACTCTTATAAGCGCTTACCAGTTAAATTGTTGTATATAATACGATATATGTTAGAGAAGATTTATAGAGAAATATTAAAATAGCATGCGCAGATTAGGTTGATTTAGAATGATTGGAACTATTTGTAGTAATGATTTGGTTGGGTTAATGATATTGTAGTTAGGTTAGTATGTCACATCACCATCTTCATCAACTTGCATTGTACTGATTGGAAGACTAATGACATCCCTACTCCTTATTAATGGTACCATCCTATGCACTTATTTTTTTTTGTCTTTTTGCTGTCTTTTTCTTTTTTATACTAATTTTCTATTAGTTATGTTATTTAGTTAGGATAGTACGTCTATTTTTTTGGGTAATTAACGTTTTTTAAATGAAATTCTAACTGATTGGGATCGATTTTATTTCCCATTTGTAACTGGTTATGGAAATGATTGACATGATTATCTTCGTCGTTCCATTCATCTTGATACTGGTCGACATCTTTTCCTCGTTTAATCTATTGAGTCAAGTTCAGGGTAAAACCTTAATTTTTTTTTTTGAGGAACATGTTAATAATTGTTCATCTGAACCGTATACATGTGAATAGAAGTAATTTGTAAGCAATTTATCTAGTATGCACATGTGCATAACAGTTCTAATTACTTATAAGCACATATGCATATAGTCCAGATGAACGTTTACTAAAATGTTTTTCAGTTTTTTGAGGTTT